TATAAGTTCAGTGGTTATTATATAACCTGGTTGTATGGTATAAGTTCAGTGTATATTATATAACCTGGTTGTACGGTATAAGTTCAGTGTATATTATATAACCTGGTTGTACGGTATAAGTTCAGTGTATATTATATAACCTGGTTTAATTTGTATTATGTTTTTTTATTGTATTCCAATCTATAACGCAATGTGTTTTCGTCACTAGGTAACATTATTCGTCTTTTTTACTTACATCTATCTTAAAGAAATGTCACAAGGGGCTAATTTTAATGTAAAGTGCCATTTTTTCAGATTTGCGTATTAAATATTTAAAATCGTGCTATTTGCGTAAACTTAGCGTATCCTTATTTCTCCTTGTGTGAAGTGTTAATAACGTCAAAGAATTAAGTAATTTTGGGAAATTCCTACATTTTACATTTAAACGACATTCAGAGCACAGTAAAACATGTTTCTTAATATTCGTTGTTAATGTTAACAATATTGTTGTTATCTCACTCTCCTGTACAACAGATACATATCATTCTTGGACGTAGTTAGGTTGATTCTAAGTGTGAATGACAGCAGAAATAACAAATACGTTTAAGTGAACGTGTGTTGAAGTGATGGATCGCAGTGTATGAGAATGAGAGCCTGTAAGAACTCATTGGTATCACTCGTGCATTATGATGTTCTATGTATATTGTTGAATATTATAAGCCGTAGGGCTTCCGGAATAAAGAAATTGAATTGAATAGAACGTAACTGTCTGTATGAAAAACAGCAGGCCTTCCTATGACAATGGTAGCCCACGGCCGACCAGAGCGGACGATGTTTACCTCCGCCTATGTCCGCTCTGTTACAATTTGTGCAGTCTTGAATTCCGTTTAACAATCGTTACATTATCGCCAATCTTTGATTTGCTCATTAAGAAAACGTATCATCAGTGTATGAATGGAGACATCAGGTCGGATGCATTGAATTTTTCTCTGTAATTGTCATCGATTCCAACAGATTCGCAGCCAACACATTGTTTCAAACCTGTCTCTGGGCATTGCCCCCATAACTTCGACGAAAACATTTTTTTCTCAATATGCAAATTTGCGTAAAGTAAATATCGATTCACGATAAGATACTTTTGTGGATATTAGCGGGGCAGATCGTAGAGTTCTGGTGACATTCATGAAAAAATAACGAAATAAGAAAACAACAGATATGGGTCGACGTCTTACACTTCAGAACGACTCTTTCTTACCAACACACTTTTCTAAAACATTAGCAGCATTACACTTTGACAGCATGCATATACTACACACATATCAATGTTGCTTTCCTATTGTTTCCTATACAGCCGTTCGCACTGGTAAAATCTGACGGGTTTCCTTGTTTTCCTCAGTATCGTATGTATTTCATCTGGTGTTATGTTACATAAAATAGTGAGTATTCAGTATTACTAGATATTATGCGTGTTTAGTATTTGACTTTTTTTTAAAAACATCTTGACATTTGATTCTATTTTCAGTATCTAAGTAAAAAAAATCTTCCCTTACACATGCTACCACATGTACGCTGCATTTCTATCCCCGCCCCTCTCTCGAGACATACAGGCGTGTTGGGCAGGTACTGGTCGCAGGTTAGGTGTTATTCTCCTGGAACTCCGGCTGTTCTCCGCTACCTAAACCTGGGACGTCCTTAAAAGTCCATTGTTGTTAATAGGACGTAAAGCAATAAATCAAATTATAGTATAAAAGATGCGTGGTTGTTTCTCTGTGATATTGGTCAACTGTGAGACCACAGGGACAGCGTAAGGGCGGTCTTATGATGTAGAAGTATCGAGTACAGGTCACCTTTCTAGCCTCAGCTAGTGGGAATTTTACTTCAGTCGACCGGTCCGGTTAGAGACCGAAGGGTCCCTAGTTCGAACCCCAGCGGAAGGTGGTGATTTTCATTACTCCTTCCTATTACAGATTTGGTGCTGTGACCACTCTAAGGGTAGAAACTATAGAGGATTGCGATGCTTCCTTGGGTTGTTGTTGTTATGCTGAATCATTGAGTGACCACACCCATACTAACAACAAAAGACAGTTGTCGCATCGTTTCCTTGTTGTTGCTGTTATCATTACTATTTCAAGCAAACCGGTAAGACATATTTATATATTGATGTGTAATGCACGATATCTGCGTTTTTTTATTTAATAAAAACCTCTGGCTGGATTCATCAAAGTGACATTAGGATACAGATACCACACCACTGATACTGCTTAACACAAACTCATATCGATTGGGAGCTACATCAGATGAATCATTTTTAGTGATGCAGATATTACTTGTTTCGATTTTTTATCTTTAAACATACCATCAGATGGTTAACATTATTGACAAGATCAAGAACTATCCAGTTACGGCACCGTAGTTTCATCGACTGTTTGTTCCACAGTACATAAGCAGTTAACCTATAAATAACTCGAATACATACTTGTTACTTCAGGAAAAAGTAGTCGATAAGTCTCTGGTGTTTTTGGATTCCTTGTTTAAAACTATATATCTACAGCATCATATGTAATCGACTGTTTACTCCTTAATACATCAGCAACTAGCCCAGAAATAACCCAACATGTAGCTGGCTTGCTTCTTAAGGAAAAAGTAGACGATAAGTGATTGGAGTTTTCAAAAGTGATTCAAACAAAATATCGGATTAACGAAAAGACGTCGTGAATTGTGATTCAATAACGTAAACTTTATACAGTGTCCTCGTGTGGTGAGATCATCTAGTTTAGTCAAGATGTACTCAGAACAGTTAATGTGTAGCCGCAGTGGTCATTTACATATAATATATAAATGCCAGTATAAGTATTTATGTAGAACTATACGTAAACTGCCCCAATTTCTACCAAATTTTCGTTAAAAGTCCCAATACATCCTGTGACATATGAGTGGGTAGAGAGAAACATTTGACAAAAATGAATGGAAAAACATATTCGAAAAAGCAAAAATAAAATCCAAGTTAAACTTGAACCCTTTAGTCGTAACCCGTCGCATCGTCCAGGCTATGTTTACAGGTCGCCTCTTCTATGTGAACTGTGCCTCCATTTTGCGATAACCTAACCATGTCAGTGATGTACATCACACAAATATAAGGATTATATATCACTTATATAAATTCTATAAACTTAAAGTACACCTAATTTACATTATATGTTGCTGATTCACATTTCACATGGACGCCGCCATCTTGTGTATCTATGACCTTGACCGTGAGCCAGGAAGCAGACGTCATAATAAAGTTTTGCACTAGAACCGTATTTTTCCATAACATGCATCGAAAAGAAATTTGTTTGAATAAAAAATCAAGTTTATTTTTGCGAATTAGAGTTTGATCATTGAGAAGCTTTACGAAATTACATCTTTCAAACTCGCATGCGATATCGACCGGCAGTGTAAACAAGATGGTATTAAGAACATTAACGGGCGTCTAGATTGGAATTTAATGGCATATATTTTTGTAAATAAACAAGGTACAATATTCTCGTGTGGTAAGATCATCTAATTTGACATGATCTACTCAGACAAGTTATTGTTTAGTCGGTTCGCCCAGTAGCATAAAATTAGTATTGTTATATAAATACTTACTAAATTATTAATGTTTTTATCCGCCTTTTTGTTCTTTATTATCCTCTTTTATTCTTATGCGCTTTGTCCGACACATTTCTCAAAAACTCTGCATGAGCGTAGGTGGAAATGCGACTATTCTTTTTATCGATCTGACATCAAATATGGCGACAAGAGCCTCTGATTTATTAAAATACAACAAGCCATTCTGAAAAACCGTCGGTCAGATTGAAATGAAACTTGATGTGAATATTGGCGACCATGTCAAGGTATGTTTGAGACATTTTTTTAAAAAATTCAATATGGCCGCTGCTGAAAAGGACATTTAAATGTCCAATTTCGATGAAAATGGACACAGGTAGGTGCCTTCTAATATCGAAGGAACACATTGGTGCAGTCAGTTTGTGTTTTGATTAAACAACTGACATGGCCGCCAAAATATTTAAACTTGCAACTTTAATTTGTTACGGGTGTATGAGGGTTCTTGTCTAGATGTTGATAATCACTACAGTCTATATAGTTATCTGTTTTCAAACGTTGTCTGTTAGACTCTGCTGACTGGTCACTGGTTTACCAGAGTCATGCATGACTACATCTCCGATCTGGAGTATGATAAGCTTAGCTATTGATTAAAATTGTTTCCCACTTCAATTTGCATTACTTTGCTGAAGCAGGGATAGTTTGGGGGACTTGTGTAACTTTCTCCATTACGATCAGTACTTGTCGATGTTGATTTTCTCGCGGTAAAACCAAGGGCTTAAAGCCATGTAAATGCTTCCCAAGCAGTTGTCATTGTTTATATTTGTGATCACTGGGTGTGTAATTGTTAATGAATATTAGGTGGTAGATTTAGAAGTTGACGAAGTGTCTTAGACACTTCTCTTTCTTCCCTCTACACCACATTGTATTGTATGAGTAAATCTGAAATACTTGATTAAAAGAAAGTATCAATTAAACTATTTTTCATTTTTCTATCTTTTTAATTTCTTTTTAAAGAAAATCACATATCACATATGACTATATAAGCTGTTTTAATCATTTGGCCTCTGTGACCCTTTGGCTTAGGTGATTCATTTCAACAATCATGGTAGTATTTTACACGTACACAAGTTACTGGCATGTTGGCTATTGACAAGTTATCTAAGAAGTTAAACACATGAACCATGACCTTAATTTGAACAAACTTGGTAGTCCTTCATCCCAGCAATGTGCAGGCCGAATGCCAATGTGCTGGAATCTTGCTTATTGAGAAGTCGTTTAAAAGGAAAAGTTGGTGCCGGTTTGACGACGGGTCATGGACGTTGCATCATTGCATACAGAAAAGGCAGGTACTTTCTCAGCTTTTTTTTATAAATAAAAAACGAGGAAAATTACTTTCATTACTTTTATTAACAAAATAACCATATGACGCATGACATATCTACATCGTGTTATCTTACGTCTACGTTCATTATACATTCAGTACCAAGTCAAAATGAAACTTTGAAGGCAACAAATCGTTTGCACACGATCTTGCTAATGTTTAATAGACCGTACATGAAAGAAACCTTTCATGTTTCATTTACATAATCGTAACTGATAGTAGCTAGATCAGTCATTTGAATAATGATATGCGTGCTAACAGCTCTCCTGCTGACTATTGATTTCTGGTTCAAAGATGAGAGGACTAGTGCAATCAGAGATTTCTCTATAAGTAGAAAAAAATCGGTAACACAGATACTACAATACACTAGTTTCCTTCTTAGTAAAGTTCAAGATAAAACGGATGAAATAAGTATATCGTAACATCCTGATATCTGTGATCAAACGGAGGGGGTGACATCAGTGTATCGTAACATCTTGATATCTGTGTTGATCAAACGGAGGGGGGGGGGTGACATCAGTGTATCGTAACACCCTGATATCAATGACAGGGGTGACACCAGTGTATCGTAATATCTTGATATCAATGACAGGGGTGACACCAGTGTATCTTGATATCAATGACAGGGGTGACACCAGTATATCGTAATATCCTGATATCAGTGACAGGGGTGACACCAGTGTATCGTAACACCCTGATATCAATGACAGGGGTGACACCAGTGTATCGTAATATCTTGATATCAATGACAGGGGTGACACCAGTGTATCGTAATATCCTGATGTCAGTGACAGGGGTGACACCAGTATAACGTAATATACTGATATCAATGACAGGGGTGACACCAGTATAACGTAACATTCTGATATCAATGACAGGGGTGACACCAGTATAACGTAACATTCTGATATCAATGACAGAGGTGACACCAATATAACGTAACATTCTGATATCAATGACAGAGGTGACACCAATATAACGTAACATTCTGATATCAATGACAGAGGTGACACCAATATAACGTAACATTCTGATATCAATGACAGATGTGACACCAGTATAACGTAACATTCTGATATCAATGACAGAGGTGACACCAATATAACGTAACATTCTGATATCAATGACAGAGGTGACACCAGTATAATGTAAGACATTAATGATGATATGATGATGAATGCGTTTCATGACAATCAGAGAAATTCTAAATGTATGACCGGAGACGGAATACAAAATAAAATGTAATCAGACAAACAATTCATCCCCTTTACAAACATGACCATGAATATTAATGGCGTCCTTAGATCGTGGAATGCAAAGTTGTTTTTTTAAAGAAAAAGCACTGAAACAGCATCACAAGTTATATGAGTTTTTTACAACAAACACGATAAAGATAAATACCAGTAAAAAATAAGCATACAAATTAAAGCCTTGATATTGTTGTTTTTGTCGTTGTACTAACTTTTCTAGACAGACCACGTGACTCAAAAGAATCGAATCTCGCTCTGATATATTCCTTCCTGCGGTGACGTAAGCATAAACAAAACAAACACTTTTTGAAGTTTCGTCGAAAATTTTGACTAAATATACTATACAAAACAGGATTTGCTGCGGAGTTGATGTTCGCTACTACCGTGGTAAACACACCAAATGACCAGCTCATGTGAAACGGCCGATCAGCAAAAGTATTGTAGAATGTGAGCACCTGCGGGGCGGCGTAACACACTATATATACTAATACACTTGCAACCAACATCTTCACCACGCCCTTCCTCGCCTTAATTGTCTCCGCGGCACGATCCGTTTTACAATTGTTCTCCTTCCGCATATGAAACTTAGTGCTAAGTTCATCCGTACTGGCATACAGTCTTTTCCCAATGACGGCGTAAAGTGTGATTTGTATACACACAGGTACAAAATAAAACAGGGCAAATTCTGTAAACTTGAATATCTGAATATCCCGGATGTGGTTGGGGAACACTATTTGGCAGTATCCCGGCGGTAGGACTTGGTTGTACACCGCGGTGGGAAGTCCACAGGCAAACGAGACGATCCACACCAACATGACGGCTACGGCGTTCTTACGTCTGTTACAAAGGATCTGGGCCTTGATGGGATGGACAATGGCCACAAACCTACAGTGCAAAAAAGGTAGAACATATTCATTAATTATGAAAAGTTATTTCAACTTATTTTTGTCACTCTCGCTCGCCCGGAAGTGGCGCTCGAGAGATGTTACAAGCAGAAAACTCAGCTGGTCAAGCAGGTGACCCTATATAGTTTTATGTCTGTTCTGGGAATCGAACCCTGGACGTCTAGGTTGAAGGCAGGTGCTTATCAACTGCACCACAGCACCGTCCTTATTGTAAAGTAAATTGCTAAAATTAGAAGGAAAAAGAGATTTCTCTAACAATAATAAAACAGCATTAGTGATTCAGAACGATTTGATTTAATAATTATTTTATTGCAAAACTTTGTACAATTGGATTGGGCACAAGTTTTTCCAACTTATTAAGCCCTCTCCATTACATGGATGGTAAAACAATACTTAACTACAAGCAATGTAACAATATATTGAATCATAATATTTTTCATTGAAACAAAAAAAAGAAGGATGTAAAGAAGAAAGGAGGATAGGTGAGGAAGGAAAAAGGGAATATATAGTACAAAGGAAGAAATGCAGAAACTAGCCAAATCGCCCAGAGGCATCAATAAATTTTTGAACAGCTCTAGCTAAAAGTGAGTTTTCAGCTGAACTTAGTCGTACGTCTCCATTCAGAACGAGGTTATAGTTCACCAGTAAAGTGATACAAAACGAGGTAATCAGTCCACCATTAAAGTGATACAGAACGAGGTTATCAGTTCACCATTAAAGTGATTCAGAACGAGGTTATCAGTTCACCATTAAAGTGATTCAGAACGAGGTTATCAGTTCACCATTAAAGTGATTTAGAACGAGGTTAGCAGTTCACCATTAAAGTGATACAGAACGAGGTTATCAGTTCACCATTAAAGTGATTCAGAACGAGGTTATCAGTCCACCATTAAAGTGATTCAGAACGAGGTTATCAGTTCACCATTAAAGTGATTCAGAACGAGGTTATTTGTCCACCATTAAAGTGATTCAGAACGAGGTTATCAGTTCACCATTAAAGTGATTTAGAACGAGGTTATCAGTTCACCATTAAAGTGATTCAGAACGAGGTTATTTGTCCACCATTAAAGTGATTCAGAACGAGGTTATCAGTCCACCATTAAAGTGATTCAGAACGAGGTTATCAGTTCACCATTAAAGTGATTCAGAACGAGATTATCAGTTCACCATTAAAGTGATTCAGAACGAGGTTATTTGTCCACCATTAAAGTGATTCAGAACGAGGTTATCAGTCCACCATTAAAGTGATTCAGAACGAGGTTATCAGTTCACCATTAAAGTGATTCAGAACGAGATTATCAGTTCACCATTAAAGTGATTTAGAACGAGGTTAGCAGTTCACCATTAAAGTGATACAGAACGAGGTTATCAGTTCACCAGTAAAGTGTCTCAGAACGAGGTTATCAGTCCACCATTAAAGTGATACAGAACGAGGTTATCAGTTCACCAGTAAAGTGAGTCTAAACGAGGTTATCAGTTCACCATCAGTTCACCAGTAACGAAACCAAAAATCAAAATTTTCACCTAATTCATAAAAATCACAATGTATACTCCATTACTGACCATATTTATCCACAAGTTTTTTTTCATCTAACAAAAATTTAAGTACTTCAATGGTGTCACATAGCATGTTGGTTGGATACAAAAGAAATATTAGTGTATGCCCAAAAAAAAACCTTAATTTCAAACAAAAACATGTGTGTTTACATACCATAATAACAGCAATGAATAATAAAATAGCTGTTATTCATATCACATTCACATACAATATACGATATGTGAAAAAGTGTTATCTCGGTACCCTCGCTGTCACCCTTAGAAAAGTGACAAAGACACTTTGTAAGGTAAACTGAGTGTGACAAGAGAGTTTTCAAATGAAAAATCTGTTTAAATACTTGCTGGCACACCTTCTGCAAATTTTCAAATAACTTTTAGAAACTTTTACCACATGAAATTAGATATTTCTAAGTTTTAATACCCCTGTCCCCTTAATTTCGATGACTCATTAGATTTCAGGAAAATTGCATACAACAGCATCATAGCCAAACAGACTATAAATACTAAACTCTTTGAAGGCTACAAGTAGAATAGTAACAAAAATTAACTATTTCTGATATTTTCTTACCTTGACCTCTGACCTTGACCCGGATTATGACCACATAATTCATTATGTAACAAAAACGAATAAGAAATCAAGTCCTTTTTTGCACAAAAAAGTGTTACCATTATAGCTATATAAAAAGTTCATTTTATCCCATTTTTCAAACAGTTCAACAAGCTTTGGAATTACATAATCCAGAACACGCTTTGCAGAAGAGATCCGCGGCTGTCTATTACAGTTCTTTTGCACAAATATTGTTCTCAGACCATCTTCACCATCCCTTTGGAATAATTTTTTTAGATGTTGGAAGTTTAAGCCAGAGCCTGAAATATTTTCAGCAGTAGCATGTTTTAAAATGCCTTGTGATATTAAAGGATGTAAGGAAGGCATATTTTTGCCTTTTCCGCGCTAAAATTAAGGACATGAACGTCAACTCTTTGACTTCCGAAAATTCACGATCTATAAAACATCGGCATTCGTCGGGATTATAACCGGAAGTGGTCCATTAGGGTGGGAATACCTTAACGAGGTTATCAGTTCACCGTCAGTTCAACAGCATCAATCAAAACAGCTTCACAATAAGCTAGGTTACGAAGTACTTGGAGAATAAGATCAGGCGTCCCGGAATAAGATAATTCTACTGCATCAGCGACCAATCATGTAAATTTGGTCAATTCAATGAAGTTATGCCACATTTCAATGAGTAGGAGACTATTTATAAAGACTATTCTACCATAGTTACTGACTGATGTAAAGCATTACGTCACTTACTTACATTGAGACGTAGCACACTTTCTTTGCAGCTGGTAGATTGAATTTGCTCATATTTGCAAACAAAGAACACATACATTAAGGTTTCGACAGGGACAAGTAGGCAAAGTTCTTTGTAACAAGCAAAACGAATTAGATCTATGTCACGGAATTAGATCGTTTTTAAACTTTTATACTAATATTGAAGATACATACAAATAAAATATAAAATTTTGTTTCCTTGGTATCGCCTAACGCCATACTAATATCCCTGGGTTAGAGACTGTAAGTAGTCAGTATCGAAAAAGATCAAAGCCTCGGGTTACTTTAATTATAATTTATTATTAATTATTTTAAATCAATAATAATTATTTATTTCAAAATCAGTACGATAAAGTCACAAACAATGGACACTGCAATAGAAAACATTCAACATCTCGTAGAAAAGATATATATGTTTGCTTGTTTGTTTGCTTGTTTGTTTGTTTGTTTGTTTGTTTGTTTGTTTGCTTGCTTGGTTATCCTCAGCTGTATGATGTGGCATCACTGACAAGTCCTGGAAGGACGAAACAGCTGTATGATACAGTATTACTGCGAGTTTTTAAAGGTCGAAACAGCTGTATGATGTGGCATCACTGACAAGTCCTGGAAGGACGAAACAGCTGTATGATACAGTATTACTGCGAGTTTTTAAAGGTCGAAACAGCTGCATGATGTGGCATCACTGACAAGTCCTGGAAGGACGAAACAGCTGTATGATGTAGCATCACTGACAAGTCATGGAAGGACGAAACAGCTGTATGATGTAGCATCACTGACAAGTCATGGAAGGACGAAACAGCTGTATGATGCAGCATCACTGACAAGTCATGGAAGGACGACACAGCTGTATGATACAGTATTACTGCGAGTTCTGGAAAGGATGAGACAACTGTATGATGTTGCATCACTGACGAGTCTTAGAAGGACGACACAGCTGTATGATACAGTATTACTGCGAGTTCTGGAAAGGATGAGACAACTGTATGATGTTGCATCACTGACGAGTCTTAGAAGGACGACACAGCTGTATGATACAGTATTACTGCGAGTTCTGGAAAGGATGAGACAACTGTATGATGTTGCATCACTGACAAGTCATGGAAGGACGAAACAGCTGTATGATACAGTATTACTGCGAGTTCTGGAAAGGATGAGACAACTGTATGATGTTGCATCACTGACAAGTCATGGAAGGAGGAAACAGCTGTATGATACAGTATTACTGCGAGTTCTGGAAAGGATGAGACAACTGTATGATGTTGCATCACTGACAAGTCATGGAAGGACGACACAGCTGTATGATACAGTATTACTGCGAGTTCTGGAAAGGATGAGACAACTGTATGATGTTGCATCACTGACAAGTCATGGAAGGACGAAACAGCTGTATGATACAGTATTACTGCGAGTTCTGGAAAGGATGAGACAACTGTATGATGTTGCATCACTGACGAGTCTTAGAAGGACGACACAGCTGTATGATACAGTATTACTGCGAGTTCTGGAAAGGATGAGACAACTGTATGATGTTGCATCACTGACGAGTCTTAGAAGGACGACACAGCTGTATGATACAGTATTACTGCGAGTTCTGGAAAGGATGAGACAACTGTATGATGTTGCATCACTGACGAGTCTTAGAAGGACGACACAGCTGTATGATACAGTATTACTGCGAGTTCTGGAAAGGATGAGACAACTGTATGATGTTGCATCACTGACGAGTCTTAGAAGGACGACACAGCTGTATGATACAGTATTACTGCGAGTTCTGGAAAGGATGAGACAACTGTATGATGTTGCATCACTGACAAGTCATGGAAGGACGAAACAGCTGTATGATACAGTATTACTGCGAGTTCTGGAAAGGATGAGACAACTGTATGATGTTGCATCACTGACAAGTCATGGAAGGAGGAAACAGCTGTATGATACAGTATTACTGCGAGTTCTGGAAAGGATGAGACAACTGTATGATGTTGCATCACTGACAAGTCATGGAAGGACGACACAGCTGTATGATACAGTATTACTGCGAGTTCTGGAAAGGATGAGACAACTGTATGATGTTGCATCACTGACAAGTC